AAGGAAGGAAGGAAGGAAAGAAAAGAAGGGAGGGAGGGAAGGAGGAAGGAAGGAAGGAAAGAAAAGAAGGGAGGGAGGGAAGGAGGAAGGAAGGAAGGAAGGAAAAGGAAGAGGAAGAAACTGAGTGTTTGGTAGGGGGTGAATATGAGTAAATGGGTATTAAACATAATCAAAGCACCATATTCAAAATAAAACTCTTTTATACAATGCATATATATGAATTTCTGCAAAGGAAAATGCAAAGTTTAAAAAAAATATAATACATATAAGTGATTTCTAAGGACAGGAAAAATCACCATAATTCAAATATAAAAAAGTGGAAATTTTCATCAGTGAGGACAGATCTTTGGCTTTCATTTGATTCACAAGATTATTGTGGGCATTCATTTGCTCCTATTTTCCACCCTCTACATTAATGCTAAAAAGTCCTTAGAGAGTGCGATATCACGAATCAAATCTAGGTAATTATAACCTTTGTGTTTTGAGTATCCAAGACCATATAATAATCAATAGCCAACCTGTCCCTCCCCAGCTGTTTCTTTGGTTCTACGTCTTCTGGAGAATTGACTGCTTAACTGTCTCTTCTTCCTTGGGTAGTCTGGATTCTAAATCCATAGCCAGCCCTGCTTCCATATTAACCCTACTGATGGAAACTAAGGCTTCTTTCGTCTTCGAGATGTAAGTGAATATCAGATCCTCATTCTTTAAACCATAGTCTAAATCAGTCCATGCTGTGGAGCTAAAAATGCAGCTAAAAATGAGAAGTATTCTTTCCTCTTCATCAAGACACACAAGTCGTTTGCAAAGATAGATGGGAGAAAAATAAGGTATCAATTGCAGCCAGCATAAGGATTTTAAAAGTTTATGGTTTATTTTTCCTTAGAAAGGCAAAGTCAAAGTTCAGCAAAATAAAACACCATGAAGTGGGTACTTGAAAGAGGTAGGGTCAAAGGGAAAGTGGTAGACAAATTAAGAGGAGAATGGGGAGAATGAAGTCAAGAATCCAATGTATATTTATAAAATTAAGAAAGGTGAGGGAGGGCTGGGAAGGTGGCTCAGTGGTAAGGTGTTTGCCTTGCATGCCTGAGGCCCTGGGTTCGATTCCTCAGCACCACATAAGCAAAAAGAAAAAAGCCAGAAGTGGTGCTGTGGCTCAATGGTAAGGTGCTAGCCTTGAGCTGAAGAGCTGAGGGACAGCGCCCAAGCCCAGAGTTCAGATCCCATGACTGGACCAAAAAAAAAAAAAGAAAGAAAGAAAGGTGAGGGAAGGAGTAGGTAAGGAAGGGACAGGGGAAAATGTTGAAAGGGTGACATCAACATATTGTATTCATAAACTGCTTTGTTAAATGCCAACTCCTTTTTACAGCTACTTAAAGATAATTTTAACAAGCTAAAAAACAATCAAAATAAATCTATCCAACCACAAAAAATTATGTTTGTTATTTTTTTGTTGGTGGTGATCATATTAGTGATTAATATGCAAGAAATCTAATTTGAGATTTTATTTTTATTTCTTCCAACTATAGTTCCACTTCCCATTCACATTTGATCAAAATAGAAAATAGGTATCACCAGACAGTCTCCTGAGCACCCTCAAAAGGGGTCTATAGATGATGGTGATAGGAGGAAGAAAGAGCAGGGGAAGGATAGGAAGAAAGTTCTACCATGGGGGAGGGACATACAAAGCAACAAAAAAAAATCACCTTATAAATATGTTAGAAACAATAGCAAGAAAGAAAAAACCATTATAACCCCTGTTTTCACTGCATTTGATGTTGGTATAATTTGGGGAGGGGAAGGGAAAAAATAAATTGTTTAAATAGGGATACAGGTGGACCCATTGCAACAATGAGATGTATAAGATGTTATGTCAAAAAACAAACTTTACAACTTTGGCAGTGGGGGGTGGGGGTGGTGAGTGTAGTTGTAGTGATGGGAGGGCCCAGATGGTAGGGGAAAACAAAGGAGGAAGCAACAATGCTTGATAAGCAATGTACTTATTACCTTGCTCATGTAATTGTAACCCCTCTGTGAGTTATTTTCACAATAAAAAAACTTATTAAAAAGAAAAAAGAAGAGGAAGGCATTCAGAATCACTTTAGAGTCATGGTATGAATTGTGTGTAATATATAGATTATTTTTAACCCAGATGTTTGTACAAGTTGCAGCTCATTATGATTTTATATGAAAAAATTCCCAGCATAGCATTGTAATGAAAGAATAGAATAGAGCTGTCCAATTAAGGCTACTGAGAAAGAAGTTCTTCCAGGCAGTTTTTGTTCCACAATGAATTCAACTACACATTTCATTTCTCTGTTACTGGGGGATGAGAACCCTTTCACACAGATATGTTTCTGTTTGAAGGAATTCCTGGAAGTTCCACAAAAGGTTTGTGGGTGTCATCTGTTGCAATCATGTCAGAAAGAATGGATGAGCCTTTTTTGGGGGGTGCACATTTTTGGAGCTAGGTATATGCTCTGCCATTTTTACTAACAACCCTATCATTCTCAAAGGACTGGGATCAGACTTTCACCTCCTAATGTAGTCACTGAAAATAGTTTTTATATGTCTCAGTAGTGAGTAGAACTGTATTGTTTTTCTGTATCGTATTTTAATTTATATTGTTATTATTATTATTATCATTAAGTCATTGTACAAAAGGGTTGCAATTTAACATGTCAGTTGGTGAATCGACACATCTGTATCAATGACGTTCCTTCCATCATTCTCCCCGCCATCTGTCTACATCCTACTGATAATTAGGAAATAATAGAAATAATATCCTTTAGAGATGGTAGTTTTTAAAAAATTGTTTTCAATTGTGTTATTATTTCTATTTTAAATCTCTGAACTTCAAAAAGGAGGTACAAGAGAATACCAAGTTAGCATAGCTAAGTGTCCAATACTTCTTGTTCAGTCACCCTTTCTCATCTGTCTTTTCCTTTCAATTTGCATTTCCCACTGTCTTTATCACATGTGCATTGAATATTCTTGCTGTATTTGTCCCTTGTTCCATTTGATATTCATCCATTCCCTCCCCCCCCACACACACATTATCCCCTTCATTTCGAATCTGTTGGCCAAACTTTTCAATTCAAATAAGAAATGTGGGCAACTGGAAATTATAGTTACAAATGGGATCATTTGAATATTACTTCTAAATTTCTTTAACACATACTTTGGAGTAATTGTTAGGCCCCAGTTATACTTTGTTGTTTTAATCACTTTTTGCATGGTGATTGGTGTGTATGTGTGTGTGTGTGTGTGTTGCTTTTTTCTTTTTATTGTGAGAATACTGTATAGAGGAGTTACAATTACATGGACAAGCATTTCTTATCAAGCATTGTTGCCTCCTCTTTGTTTCCCCTTCCCATCCCTTCCCATATTCCCCCCCTCCCTCCACCTAATCCTCCCTCCCTATCCTCCCCGCCCCCCACCAAAGTTGAAAATATGGTGTATATACACAATGGAATTCTATGCCTCCATCAGAAAGAATGACATTGCCCCATTTGTTAGGAAATGGAAAGACTTGGAAAAAATTATATTAAGTGAAGTAAGCCAGGCCCAAAGAAACATAGGTTTCATGGTTTCCCTTATTTGCAATAACTAGTATATGTCTGAGTCAACCAGAAAAGGTCAGATAAGTTGATGTTAGGGGAATGAACCCTAAGATAAGTATTCAAATGTTTTTTTTTCATTTCATGCAATTGTTTCTAACATATTTATAAGATGATTTCTATGTTGCTTTGTATGTTGCTTTTTTTGGGGGTGGGGCGTCCAGTCGTGGAGCCTGAACTCTGGGCCTGGGCGCTGTCCCTCAGCTCTTCAGCTCAAGGTTAGCACTCTACCACTTGAGCCACAGCGCCAGTTCCAGCTGTTTTCTTTTTGCTTATGTGGTGCTGAGGAATCAAACCCAGGGCCTCATGCATGCAAGGCAAGCACTCTACCACTGAGCCACCTTCCGAGCCCCTGTATGTTGCTTTCTTATTCAAGTTTTTTGTCTTCAGAGTTCACCAGGAGGATGTTTTCCACAATATTTACTATGTTTAAACAAAGATTGAATTATTTTATTCAGTTATGTACTATTTGATTCCTTGGTGTAATTTTACAGCACAGTTACAATTTTTATGACTTTTGCAACTACAATGATAACTCTGTTTTGTACTAAAAGCCAAAATAAGCTAAATATTTTAAAATGTGGGTGATTCATAGTAAAATGGAGTAGATATTAATTATTGGAAATGAAACAAGTTGATTCACTAATTTCCTTTTTCTTCTTTCTCTATCCTTTTAATTCTCTTTCTGAAAAGGTGTCCAAGCAAGATAGAATCACAGAATGGAACACATGTCTCAGAATTCCATCTTTTTGGCCTCTCTGAGGATCCAGACCTGCAGCCGTGTCTCTTTGGGCTATTCCTGTCCATGTACCTGATCACTGTATTTGGGAACCTGGTCATCATCCTGGCCATCTGCTCTGACCCTCACCTCCACACCCCCATGTACTTCTTCCTCTCCATCTTGTCCTTTGTGGATATCTGTTTCATCTCTACCACAGTCCCAAACCTGGTTGTGAACATCTGGCTTCACAGCTGGGTCATCACTCATGCAGGTTGCCTGATACAGATGTCCATTTATATCCTTTTTGCAACAATGGATGACATGCTTCTAACCGTCATGGCCTATGATCGCTTCGTGGCCATCTGTCACCCTTTACATTATGCAGTCCTCATGAGCCCTCGCCTGTGTAGGTTCTTAGTCTGCACATGTCTGTCTGTCAGCATTGTGAACTCCCAGCTACATACTTTGTTTGTCTTACAATTTACCAACTTTCAAGAGGTCCAAGTCGCCAATTTCTTCTGTGACCCTTCCCATGTGGTGAATCTGGTCTGTTCCAACACCTTCTCTAAGGACATGGTGAAATATTTTGCCGTTGGCATCTTTGGTTTTTTCCCTGTTGTAGCCATCACTTTGTCTTACTATAAAATCATATCATCCATTCTCAAAATAGCATCCTCAAGTGGGAGGTACAAAGCTTTCTCCACCTGTGGCTCTCACCTGTCAGCTGTTTCCTTATTTTATGGAACAAGCATTGGTGTGTACCTTGGTTCAGGTATAACAGAATCCCCTAGAAAGGTTGTAATTGCCTCTGTGGTTTACACTGTGATCAACCCCATGCTGAATCCTTTCATTTACAGCCTGAGGAACAGAGATATGAAACAGGCTTTCAATAGAATCCACAGAAGAAAATTCTTCTTTAGGACTTAAAACAATTTGTTTCATTTGTACCAAGGTAAAGCTAGAAAAATAAGTGCCGAAGCTGCCAATTCCAGCTTTTCAGGTCATATTAAATTCTGGTTTAATGGCTTTAATTTCTAACAGTGCATCATAGTAAAAAGTTGGTAGCCAATATTGGCTATGTAAAGAATGGTTAGAGTTGAAATGATTTTTTTCTTTCTTTCAAGAATAGGTAGAAAGTTTAGTTTGGGATAATTAAACATTTTGGAGATGTATCTTATTGATAGATGCACTATAATATGAGTGCTTTAATGTATTAAGTTGCACATTTGAAAATTGTTCATAACAAAAATGTTTCAAATTTTATTTTATTTTTTAAATTTATTATTGTTTTAAAGGGGTCGTATGGAGGGTTTAGTTACATAAGTCATATAAAGAGTGAATTCCTCTTTAAACAACATTACTCCTTCCCTCCCTCTCTCCACCCATAAGTTGTATTGTTTATTTTCCACATAGTGGGTATTACTGCTGCATTTGTTCACCTTTTGTTCCACCATTTTTGTGTCCCCTCCTTCTTTTAATGTCCTAAAGACAGATAAAGGAACAAACAAGACAAAAGGAAAAGAAAACAAAAGCAGCAACAAGTTAAAAAAAACCCTCTTGTTTCCAGTTCCTGGAGTTCATTTCGATAGATATTATTTTATATGATCAGACACACATAGCTATTGCACCTTTGTGATCCTCTCCTAAGAATATTCTCCTTTGTTCTAACTGTGTGAATGCCTAGAAACCTATGTAATTCAAGCATTCTTTTTCTTATACCATACAGTATATTTACTTGACAATTTATTGTTTCAAAAATATGAATGGGAGTAAAAGGCAAATGAGATTTGGAAAAAAAACAGGAGACACAGAAATGATTAGTACATACAATAAGGTCCTCCCAAGAAGAGGAATGATTCAGAAACTTTTGTGGGCCTTATTTCCTTTCTTCTCCTCCCTCCAATGAATCTGGGCAGCTCATTCCTGTCTGTAGTTAATTATGAGCTTTGTGTTGCATCTCTGTGGTTCCATGTGGGTTACACAGATGTCAATAATCAGCCTGTACATCCAGTTTGAGTCATATGAAGTCCAGGAGCCACCATATGTGTGTCTCTTTTATTAATGTCTCTGTTGGTAAGCTCCTAGCTAAGACCACATTCATATCAACCCTGAGGACAGAGCCTGAACTTTCACTGAGAACCAGACAGTAGACAGATACACATCAGTTCCCCATTGCTTCTTTGTAAACTTTCAGAGGCACTGTATACAAGACCTAGTGCTGAAGAATATGGAGATGGAGGAAGAAGATGGAGATGGAGGATGAGCAATCAAGACCTTTGTATCCTCATTACCACTACAACTATGTGTTTCATGTAGTCAGATGGGAGTGAGTTATTATCAATGCTTGATAAGAAATGTACTCATTATCTTGCCCATGTAATTGTAACCCCTCTGTACAGTATTTTCACAATAAAAATATAAAAAAAATAAATAAATTTAAGTTACAAATATAGTCATGTGAGCCAGTAGATATGTGAGTAATATCCAACCTAGATCAAAACTAGCTGCCCACAGAAAAAATAAATTCTGGAGAGGATAGTGGAATATTCTTACCCACTGTTGATGGGAATTCAAATAAGACCAATCTTTGTAGAAATCAGTATGGATATTTCTCCAAAAACATTAAAAATTAAACATAGTATTTACTATATACCATTTCTGATTATATTTTCCCCCAAATAAAAGTCAATTTTAGCCTGGTATCTGTGGCTCATGCCTGTAATCCTAGTTACTCTGGAGTCTGAAATATAAGGATTGAGGTTCAAAGCCACTTTGGTTAGGAAAGTTCATGAGATTCTTATCTCCAATTACCCACCAGGAAACCGGAAGTGGTACTGTGGCTCAAGTGGTAGAGTGCTTGCCTTGAGCTAAAGAGCTCAGGGACAGCACCCAGGCCCAGAGTTAAAGCCCCATGACCCAAAAAAGTCACCTTACCATAGAGGCACCCATATGTACCTGTTTATCATCATGCAATTCAAATGCCAAGCCATGGAACTAGCCTAAGTTTCTGACAAAGGATGAAGAGATGATGGATATATATATATATATATATATATATATATATATCAGATGTGAGATTGACTATTCCAAGCCTTTGTTTCCTCATCATAAAGACAAACATGACAGTTTGGGCGTTATAATGGAAGATGCCATTGTTTAGAAAATCAGTTATGAGGACTGTGAATTTTATGTGCTTTTAATTCTTGTGATGGGGCTAAATCATATGCTACATTTGCTTTCTACCCACCAAATTCTCCCTCCAATGGATGCTTCTCCCTCCTCTGCAGAAGATGGGTCATTCAAAACCATTTCCTAAATATTCTGTAATGATAATAACGAAGGTTATAAGGAGTACTGTAATGAGGAAATCAGGAACCATACATTGTTAATATTTTCAGAAAATGTGGTGAGGCCTAGATAAGGCCTAGATAATTTTATGTAATTTGTTTTCAAGTCCTTAATAAATATTAAAGAATACGTTGTGTGTTTTTGTGTGTCTCTCTGTGTGTGTGTGTGAGTGTGTGTATGTGTATGTGTGTGTGTGTATGTGCTAGTACCAGGGCTTGAACTCAGAGTCTGGGCACTCTTTGTTATCTTTTATGTTGAAGCTAGCACTCTCCCACTTGGGCCACACCTCCATTTGTGGCTTTCTGCAGGTTAATTGGAGATAAGGGTATTGTAGACTTTCTTGCTCAGGCTAGCTTTGAATCTTCATCCTCAGCCTCCTGCGTAGTTAGGATTACAGGCATAATCCACCAGCACCTGACTTTTCCCATTATATTGAAGTAACTCTGTTGTAGTTATTTAGGAAGGAAAGAATGAAGCCATCTTTTCCATGAGCTGATTTTGGACAGTCATGGAAGCTTATCTATGGCCTCTTGAAAACCCAGACAGTCATTTCTTTTTCCTGTCACTCCAGGAGTGGACTCCCTTGCTACAGAGTATCTTGAACTACAGCCCATTCTCTTTGGTTGTTGTTGTCCATGTACCTGGCCACTATGTTTAGGAACCTGCTTGTCGACCTGGCAGTCAGATCTTACCCCCCCCCCCCACATACACACCACATTCCTATGTACTTCTTCCTCTCCAACCTGTCCTTCATGGACATCTGCTTCATCTCCACCACCATCTCCAAGATGCTGGTGGACATCCAGATCCAGAATAAAGCCAGAGTTGCCCGACTCAGGAATATTTTAAAGGTATATTTATTGGAATGGGTTATTTTCTACTGACTGTGATTGCCTACAATTGCATTGTGGCCACCTGTCATCTGAATTACACTGTGATCATGAGCTCCTTTCTGTGTGACCTCTTGCTTCTGCTATCTTGGCTCATCATGATCTAGGTCTCTCTGACACATATTTTGTTAATGAAGCAGCTGAATTTCTCCACAAGCACCAAAATCCCCCTATTTCTTCTGTGACCTCTCCCAGACCTCTCACTCTGAATAGGCACAATCTTTTAAGTAATGTCTCCAACCATTTTTCAATGGCTGTTTTTGAGTAAAGGCCTGATGTATTGCCAGGGATGTTGCAAATCCATGATCCTCTTCCTTATGTTTCCCCCATAGCTGTGCTGACAATTGCTTGCCACCATACCCACTCTCTATCATGGGGATGAGTTCACATTCACTTTAGTTTGCTTTTGCCCAGGCTGACCTCACAGCCCCTCTCAATCCTCACTTCCTGAGTAGCTGATATTATAAGTATGAGCACCACATCTTTCCCTCATTTATCCCTTGCATTGCATTTCCATATAACTTGAGAATTATTAGGTAAATGCAATAGGTGGCTGAGGAATGAGAATATCACATGGTATTCAAGCCAGGGAGACAGGTTTATTTTCCAAACTGCTGGCTGACCTGCAGTCAAGTTGGAATCACACATGGTCAGAAAAAAGGGTGGAGCCACCCCCAGGCCAGGACTCATCAAGGCCAGGGTCAGGGAGGGCAGGATATGGATGTGACCTCAGGGAGTGGGGAGGTGGCTGTCTCCAGTTGTGCCAGTTATTTAGGTGACACAGGTACTAGGTAGAGATTTAGCCAAGAGGAGGGAGGAGTTTGCTCCACCTTCCCAGGGCCAATCTTACATTCCAACCTTCTAATAATTATGATAAAAGATGCAGATTCTCTCTGATACTTCCTGCTGGCAAGGTGTGTCAACATTAGGTGTAAAAATTGAAATATGCCCCCCACCCAGAAGGCAGCAAGCAGCAGTTGTGCTTTGGTAGATGCAAGTCCTTGAATGGTAGAAGTCTCCTAAGGCAGGGGCTGGACAACAATAAGAGGAAAAATATAACTGAAAAGAAAAACTTGGATGCCAATGGCTTAGAGGTGACAACAGGGATGAGGTAGAGGGATGTCAGGGATGTGAGACAGCATTACCTTTGTAGGTTCAAGGGGTGGAACAAGTGTACCTCGAAATCAATGATGGTGTAGAAGGGGCAGGAACAGGAGCCCTTTTTATACTTTTTTTTTGGTTGGTCCTGAGACCTGAACTCTGGGCCTGGGCACTGTCCCTCAGCTCTTCAGCTCAAGGATAGAACTCTACCACTTGAGCCACAGTACCACTTCTGGCTTTTTCTGCTTATGTGGTGCTTAGGAATTGAACCCAGAGCCTCATGCATGCAAGGCAAGCACTCTACCACTGAGCCACCTTCCCAGCCCCCGTTTTTTATTCTTAACAGATGAATCCAGTGGCTTCCCTTGAACTTGACTGCTGTGGGGTGGTCAGCAGAACCTGGTGAGGGCCTGTCCACTTAGAACATAAACCAGATAGATTAAGGGTCTTGAGAAACACTTGAACCCCAGGCAAAATTGGGGGAGTGGGAAAGGGGCCTTGATGAGGCTGAGGGAGACATTGTTCAGCATATTGGCATAACATATGCCTAAGAAAAGTTAGGACAGGAAGGTAGTCTATTGGTGGAGT